TTTTTTTTTTTTTTTAAATACAGGGTCGTGTTATGCAGTTCAGGCTTTTTTTTTTCAGGATAGCTTTTTTTTGGTACCAGGGATCGAATTTACGACCTTGCACTTTTGAGCCAGCCTCAGTGCCACTGAGCTAAATCCAGGGCCCTTCAGGCTAGTCTTGAACTCACTATGTAGCCCAGGCTGGCCTTGAACTCATAGCGATCCTCCTGTCTCAGCCTCTCGAGTGCTGGATGACAGGTGTGCAACACCCTGCCCAGCTTTGTTCACCCTTTTTTCCCAATATCAGGAATCCAACTCCGGATCTTGTGCTTGCCAGGCAGGCACAGGGCTGCTGATCTAAATCCCCTGCCCTGGTCCCTCTTTTTTTTTTCCTGCTCACTCTTTTTGACCAAGTGACTGTTTCACAACATTATGCTATTGCTTGAGTAAATAAGTAGGGCTGAGCAGTGGATGAGCTGGGAGCACAGTCAGAAAGAGTGACAGGAGAAACTCCCTTCTGAAGGCCATCACAGCCTTTCAATTCAGTCTACTGGCAGTTTCCTGGTCCTCCACAAGCTCTGCCAATAGCTGCCTCAGTGATACCAGGCCATGAAAATGCAAGGAACACACCCAGGGCTTCCCAGTCACACCTGTCAAGCTTGGAAACAGCTCGCTTTTTGAGCAGCCAGTTAATATAGAAAGCACAGCGGCCGTGTCCCATATCACGACTGGCCTGACCAATGCAGGGCCAGCTCGCTCACAGGAGAAGGGCTGTTCTTACACTGGCCCCTAAGTTCCTTGTTAGGAGGGACTGAGAACAAAAGTCCATCCGGGTACCCAGCCCAGTGTGTCTGGTAGAGCAACCTGGGTACCACATCTCCACACAAGGACAGTGTATTTCTTTGACCTACTCTATTCAGAGCCATATGTGGGCTTCGAACCAACAAGGATAAAAGAAGATGTCGTGAAGGAGGTGCGGAGGCCATGAGCATCCATACTGCAAGAGCCCAGAATCAAGAGCTTCAAGTGATCCCCATGACTTGAGAGAAAATGCACATGAGAGGCCATGCGAGCACAGTGCAGCACCAAGAAGACAGCTGCTTGTGCTGCCTCTCATCCTCTTTGCCCGCTGTGTGGGGAAAGGAGACCCCTTAAGGTGGCCCCTCTGAGGTGCGGCTCCAGACGGCAGGCGCCAGCTGCCCCAGGCCCCTCACCTGCTTATGCGCTTCTGTGGTGCAAGCTTTTTTGTAGGGCCGGATTTCTTCAGAGCCAAATCCTGGGATCCACATGTTCCACTGGCGCTCTACAAAGGAGAAGCCCGCACAGGGTGAGGGCTGGGAAGCCACCCCGGGAGCATGATGGGACCCTCAGACCGGTACCAGGGAAGATGGATTGGGACAGGGACCGCACTAACACCACCCCATGAGAGGTCCCACAATCACTCATGTCTGCTCCAAGTGGTTTTTTTTTTTGGTACTGGGGATCAAACTCAGGTCCTTGCGCTTGTGCTCCAAGTGTTTTTTTTTTAAAGACAGGGTCTCACTATGCAGCCCAGGCTGGCCTTGAACTGCAGTGATCCTCCTGTCTCAGCCTTCCCAGTGCTGGGATTACAGGGATGCACCACTACGGCCAGCTGTGCACGTCTAGCTTTTAAAATCATTTAAAAATATACCATGGCATTAAGTGCATTCACACTGTTGTGCACCCATCACCCTCCTCTCTCTCTGTCTTCATCAAGCCAAACTGAAACTCTGTGGCCTCTGAGCAGGAAGCCTGCACCCCCCCACTCTTCGTTCAGGCTCTGCTTTCTGTATGTGAATCTGTGCTGTGGTGGTTTTGTAACATTCCTGCAAATCCCTCCATACCTCTCCCACCAAGAGATGCTGCTCAAGCCCATGATCCCAGCACTCTGGAAGGCAGAGGCAGGAAGATTACAAATTCAGCTCAGCCCACACAACTTAGCAAATAAGGAGACCCTGGCTCAAAATAGTCTTTCTGACTGCCTCAAAGAAGAGAATTCAAAAGGAGGGATGCTGTGTGATTTCAGAGCCTAGAGGTCATGCATGCCAGATGTGGTGGCACACACCAGCAACCCCCACCAGTCAAGAGCCTGAGGCTTGAGAGGCTGAGGCAGAAGGACTGCCTTGAGCTCAAGGCCAGCCTGAACTATACAACGAGACACTGTCTCAAAAAAAAAAAGACGACTGAAGTGAAAGATCACAAGTTCAAGTCCAGTCTAGGCAAGGTAGCTATCTTTTTTTTTTTTTTTTTTCTGTACCGGGGATCGAATTCAGGACCTTCCACTTGAAAGGCAGGCGTGGTGCCACTGAGCTAAATCCCCAGCCTGAAGTTAGCTATCTTCAAGATGGAAGAAAAAGAAAAAGAATGAATGAAAGATTTGAAGCACATATAAATGTAAATGTAAAGTCAGGTGTAGTCGCGCATCCCTGTAATCTTAGCATTTGGAAGGCTAAGGCAGGAGGACCTCTGTGAGTTCAAGGCCACTCTGGGCTACACAGGGAAACCCTGTCTCAAAAAAAAAAAAGGAAGAGACAGAGACACAGAGACCGAGACATAGGGGAAAGGCCCACGGGGAGAGTGAAGGACAGGCAGGAGTGCTGCGGCCCTGAGCTGTACACCACCAAGGACTGCCAGCTACTTCCAGGAGCTATGAAGAGCCAAGAAGGATCCTTCCCCAGGGCCATCAGAGAGAGCATGACCTTGTCAACACCTTGATTTCCATCTTGGGCCTCCAGATCTGTGAGAGTGGTAGTTTATAGGCATGTGCCACCATGCCCAGTTCACAACCACTTTTGTTTTTGTTTTTTGAGACAGGGTTGTACTGTGTTGTTTAGGCTGGCCTCTACCTCTTGGATTCAAGCAATTCTCCTGCATCAGCCTCCTGAATAGCTGAGATTACAGGTGTTAGTCACAATGTCTGGCTAACAACCATTATTAGTATTAGTAATAGTAGTAGTAGCATTGAGTATCAAACCCAGGGTCTCACACATGCTAGGTGAGTACTTTACCACTGAGCTATGTCTCCAACTATTACTGACTATAACAGCCAGCTGTTACTGTTTATCTGTCCTTGGTGCAGTACTGGGGATTGAACTCCCAGCCTTGTGCATGCTATGTAAGCACTCTACCACTGAGCCACCCCCTAAATCCCTTAATATCTCCTGGATCATTCACCTGGCCTGACTACAGTCACAGACCTTCTCTTTCTTTGGTCACATCTGTAACTGATGCAGAAGAGGGTTCACTCTTTTCTAAATCAGTTTCTCCCCAAAAACCCCAAGCTTAGATGTAGTGTCTGTTAAATGAGGAAGAATACAAATTTGTATGCACATTATAGTATTATTAGGAAAAGTGCATAAATATACGAAAAACTGCACGGGAACACTGAGGAACTGATTTTTGGTTTTGTTTGGGGATGGGGGGCAGGGTCTCCCTATGTAGTTCAGGCTGGTCTTGAACTCACTTTGCTGCCTAGACTGGCTTTGAACTTGCAGTGATCCCTAGCCTCAGCCTCCCGAGTGGTGGGACTGCAGGTGTGCAACACTGTGCGGGCTAGGAATAGTTTGTTTTCTGTAGCGCTAGAAATCAAATCCAGGGGCCTGCATATGCTAAGCAAGTGCTCTACCACTGAGCTGCAACCTCAGCCCTGAGGACAGTTTTATTTGTTTTTGTCCCCGCTCCCATACCAGGGAAGGAACTCAGGATCTTGTGCTTGAAAGGCAGATGTGGTGCCACTGAGCTAAATCCCTGGCCCAGAGGATAATTTTATTTGAATGATATTATATCAGTAGGTACAAATTACTAAGCACTTTCTTTGTGCTGGGCCCTGTGCCAGTAACTTTTTTTTTGTTTTATCTTTGAGATAGGGTCTCACTATGTAGTTCAGGGTGGCCTTGAACTTACTGTGTAGCCCAGGGTGGCTTTGAACCCATAGTGATCCTCCTCCCTCAGCCTCCGGAATGCTGAGATTACAGGACTGTGCCACCACACTAGGATATGTGCCAGTCACTTCACAAACACAGTATATGGTTCTCACGACTACCCTGAAAGGAGGGTATTATGATACCCACTTTTACAAACAAGGACACAAGCTCTAAGAGAAACCAAGTAGGAAGGAAGGAAGGATAAAGTGGCACCCCCAGAAAGCAGAATATGGTTTCAAATCCAAGGCCTGGGCTCACTCCCCTACTGTGGACAGAATTATCTCCTTTGTTTAGTGCTGCTGTTGAATGAATACATAAGTCCAGCACCCGAAAGTCTGATCTTGGCTTGAAGGCTCCTTTCACACTCCGCACCAGTCCTAAAGGAGCAGCTGCACAGCTAGCTATGTTAGGGGAAATGAGGCCACGTACCTAGGTGCAGCTGGACGTCCTTCACCTCCAGGGTACTGGACTTGCGATGCCGAGCAAGCTGGCAGGCAGCTGTCACCACGCTCTCGATGAAGTCATCAGCGATCTGCAGCAGCATCTGGAGAGGCAAAGTGGGGAGAGTCACCATGACGCTGGCAGGGTGGGCGCCTGTTGCTGGGACAACTGTTTTCTCCAAGTCCCGAATTAGTCAGCTTTAGTGGGCCTGGAATCAGCATTTGGGCTGAGGGGAGGGTAAGGAATGAGGAGGACAACAGAAATATTATCCAAGTCAAGTACAAACCACACCTTTCAGAGGAGGTACTTTTTGTACTTTCTACCTAGCAAGGATTAGATAATGCAGTCCTTTTTTATTTATTTATTTTTTTGTTTTTGTTTTCTGAGAATCTTACTTTGTACTGCAGGCTGGCCTTGAACTCCTAGGAATCCTGCCTCAGCCTCCCTAATGCTAGGATTACAGGTGTGCACCACCATGCTCAACTTACGAAAGGAGTGGAAACAGGATTCAACCTTAAAGGTGTTTTTTTTTGTTTTTTTGGGGGGGGGACCAGGGATCCAACTTGGGTCCTTCCTCAAGGCAGGCACCAGAACCACTGAGCTAAATACCTGGCCCAACTTTAAAAATTTTAAGCCTAAATCCTAAGATTTTTGCACTTCACTATCGATTATTCCTGAACCGTGTAAGAAGCAAGATCAGAATTCTGAAGATAAAAATCTACATGAAAAAAAAAATGAAAATTTTAATTGGATAATAGATTCCCCATGACTTTCTCTGTTGACCAAAAACGAACAAACAAAAAACCTGACTAAAATTACAAGAAGATACACAGACATTCCTTGCTCTGCTGCACCATTACTCACGGTCATTTTCTCTGTTGGAAAAGGAAATTCATTCTCTCTCTCTGTCTCTGCAGCTCAAAGCCAAAAATGGCCAGGGGCATGCCTGTAATTCCAGCACTCAGGAGGCTGAGGCAGAAGGATTGCTTCCAGTTCAAGGCCAGCCTGAACTACACAGCAAGATCCTGTCTCAAAAAACACAACCTATTTTCTCTCTAAACCCATTTCGATCACAGTGAAAAAAAACCATATAAATCCACAAAAGCAGTATGAACAAGAGAAAAACTTGTGCAGCTAAGAGATTCCAATCAACTACTTCTGTGGTGCTAGATTCTAAACACAGCCTTGAGCATGCTAGGCAAGAGCGCTACCGTGGAGCCACCCCCACCCTCCAGTGAGCTGCTTTGGTTTTCTTTTCAGTTTTTATTTTTATTAGTCCATGCTTGCAATACATAATGATCGCATTCTCTGTGTGAAGTTGATACATGGAGATAACACATCTCGGTTCTTTTTTCGTCTCCTTTCCATCCCTTCCATCATCTCTCTTTCTTTTTTTTTAATCTTATTTTATTGGGGGCGTCTAGTTTTTTTGTTGCAAAACATTTATTAGTACATTTTAGATATACATAATGATAACATTCATTACAGGGAATCTGTACCAGTATATGACATATCTTGCTGCTTCTTTTTTTCCCCATTCTCCTCCCTCCCTTATGTATAAAAGCTTTGTTTCCACCTCCTCTGATTTTCTCTTTTTGTCCTTTTCCGTTCTTTCCTGGGAGAGTCTAGTTTTATCTTTTTTATTTGGGGGTGGTTTTTTTTTTTAGACAGGGTCTCACTATGTAGTTCAGGCTGGGCTTGAACGCTCAGTGATTCTCCTGCCTCAGCCTCCAAAGTTCTGGAATTACAAGCATGAACCACCACCCTCAGCCTTTTGTTTTGGTACTGGGGATCAAACTCAGGACCTTGTGCTTGCAAGGCAGGTGCGTGCCACTGGGCTAAATCCCTGGCCCTGCATACATATATATTTTGAGACAGGGTCTTATTATATTAGTCTTGCATTTGTGGGCTCAAGCAATCCTCCTGCCTCAGCCTCCTGAATAGCTACAGACACACACCACCAGACACAATAAAATCACCTTTCTGGTGGCTTATTCTTTAAGAATGGATATCCAGAATTATCAAACATTTGAAGACAATATCTTAATTAGCATTAAAAACAGAATAAACAGGGCCAGGAAAGTGCAAGGTTCAGTGGTTCTGCCCAACTCTGCCTGGAAAGTGGAAGGTCCCGACTAAACAAGCTAAAGTGGGGGTATCCAAAGGAAACAGACAATGTGAGAAAAGAACAAAAAGTAAAAAGTGCAAGTGATGCCCTCAGAGACAGAAATAACAGAAGATACTGGAACCTAAAATATGAACAGAATGGGGAGGTCTAATCCACAAGAAAAACTCTTTGTGAAAAAAAAAAAAAGAAAAACTCTTTGTGCTGGGCATGGTAGCACATACCTGTATTCCCAGCACTAGGGAGGCTGAGGCAGGAGAATCTGCATGAGTTTGAGGCCAGCCTGGGCTACATAGTGAGTCCCTGTCTCGAAAACCAAAGAAAAAAGTTCTTGGAAATTGAAAATTTTACCCTCTTGTCAAAAAAGTTAAAAACCATAGAGCATAATTTAAGAAAAACTCCCTCAGCAAATATAACTTACAACAACTACAACAGGATGAAAAATAGAAGAGAAAAATGAAGTAAACGCAAGTTGTATGGCATATGTGTGAGGAGTGTTAACAAAATTCTTATGTACTGGGCTGGGGATTTAGCTCAGGGGCACCACACCTGCCTTGCAAGCACAAGGTCCTGAGTTCAATCCCTGTACCGAAAAAAAAAAATTCTTATCTACCATTACCAGGAAGTCAATAGACGATTAGAAAATTAATCAAGCCAGGTGTAGAGGCACACACCTATAAGCCTAGGACTCCAGGAGGCTGGGGCAGGAAAATCATAACTTAAAGCCCTGGGCAACTCAGCAACTTAGCAAGACCCTGATCAAAATAAAATTACCAAAAGGGCCAGGGATTTAGCTCAGTGGTTCCAGCGCCTGCCTCGAAAGTGCAAGATCCTGAGTTCAGTCCCCGGTACCAAAAAAAAAAAATTACCAAAAAAAGGGCTGGGTATGTACCTCAGTGTGAAGGCTTTGAGTTCAATCTCCACTAATACAGATGCGCGCGCGCACGCACACACACACACACACACACACACACACACACACACAAGAAAATTAAGGAAATCAAAGAATACCTGCTTACATTTACTACTTAGAATAACAGAAGATTATAGAAACAGCTAAAATTATGGAAATTGCTATTGCCTGCAACAGTCTATGTCTTTTGGGTTTTTGTTTATTGTGATTGTGATTGTATGTCTGTTTGTGGTACTCTGGATGAACCCAGGGCCTTTGCACTGAGATATATCCCCACATCCCCAGCCCTTTTTAATTAATTAATTAATTAATTAATTAATTTTTGGTACTGGGGATCGAACTTGGGTCCTTGTGCTTGCACAGTAGGCAGTAAAACCACTGAGCTAAATCCCCGCCCCTTAATTTTTTTATTGTGAGACCAGGTCTTGGTAAATTGCCCAGGCTGGCTCAAACTTGCCATCCTCCTGCCTCAGCCTCCCAGACTGCTGGGATTACAGGCATGTACCATCACACTCAGCTGTCTATGTCTTTCTTGACACAGTAGCAGCTACTGGGTATAAAGTGCTAAGCCTTCTTTCAGGTTAGTGGTGGCCAACCTAGAGCATTCGTGCTGGAAGGGGCTGTCGGTATCACTGAAAGCTGTAAAAGGTCTGCCATCACTGTCCTAGGTGATTTGTATAAATTATTCCATGGGATTCTCACGATAACCCCATAGGTAAATAGCGTCATACCCTACTGACATAGGAGGACTTGAATCACAAAAAGCTATGCAGCTTATCCTCAGTTGCACAGGCTGTAAGTGCAGAGACAAGGTTCAAATTCAGATTTGCCTGCCTCTGCAGGGCACAGTGTTGCACACCTGTAATCCATGCTACTCAGGAGGTTGAGACAGGAGGATTGCAAGTTAGAGTCTTGCCTGGGTAACTTAGTGAGACCCATTCTCAAAACAAAAAACAAACTGGGCACGGTGGCACACACCTGTAATTCCACCACTCAGGAGGCTGAGGAAAGAGAACTGCCCCAAGTTCAAGGCCAGCCTGGGCTACATAGTGAGACCGTCTCAAAAAACTTAAAAAAAAAAGGGCCAAGGGTGTAGCTAAGTGGTAGAGCAACCCTGGGTTCAATCCCAGTACTCAAAAAAGAAAAGACAAGAATTGGGAATATGGGGATATAGAGTGCTTGCCAGGCATGTGCAAGGCCCTGGGTTCAATGCCCTGTATAACCCAATCCAACCCAGATTTGTTTGCCTCCAAGTCTCTGCTCTTAGCTACCAGCCCTTAGGGACACAGAGCCACCTTACCTCCTCCACATCTTCATCCAGCTGTTCATTAGGATCCACTTCTCTTACTAAGTCCTGTAACTTCTTCTTGGTCAAAACCTAAAGTTAATTGGGAAAAGATTTTTCACTGAGTATTAAGGAAACATGCAATTTCTGAAGAAAGGCTGTCAAATTGTTGGGTTTAGTTCTGAGTTTGGAAAGAGCTCATGATCTGGTCTGCCTGGTGGCACGGCTATAAAACAACACTCTCCAGACAGAAGTAGGCCAGGGAAAGGAAGGAAGAGTGGTTTGGAAGAGGCCAGTACATAACTGTCGGGCAGTTTATTTCTGCTTTAGCACTTTTCCTCACTGTTGCTCAGTCCCTCCCTCTAATGAAGCAGTTTGTACCACACAGAGTGCACCCTCTCTCTACCTGCTGCTGTGGATGCGCTCTTCTTCCCTTCTCCCTCCATGCTCAGCTCACAGAGCGCCTTTCTGTGCCTCTCCTAGCCCACCAGGTAAAAGCGATCACTTCCTCCTTTAGCTTTTTCTGCACTCTGGGAATCATTGTGCATATTTGTAAACTTCCCTGTATCTGACTCAATAGATTAAAATCTCTTGGAGGATAAGGACCACGTATTCATCTCTGTATAACTAAATAATGTGTAAATATGTGTAACAATCATCACTTTCATAAAGAAAATGCTGTGTTGCATTTATATGTAGCTATGTGTGTGTATATAATTTCAAAATGATCAATAGCTGGGCACTTGGGAGGCTGAGGCAAGAGTCACGGCAAGTTACAGACCACCCTGAGCTACCTAGTGACTTCGAGGCCAGCCTAAACTACAAAGCAAGACTCTATCTTGTTTACTTTTTTTTTTTTGGTACTGGGGATTGAACTTGGGTCCTTCCGCTTGCACAGCAGGCAGCGAAACCACTGAGCTAAATCTCTGGCCCAAGACTCTATCTTAAAAAAAATAAAAATTAAAAAAAAGCTGGGCCTGATGGTGCATGTTTGTGATCCCGGCACTTAAGAGGACTGCCACCAAGTTGGAAGCCAGCCTGAGCTACATAGTGAGTTCAAGGCTAGCCTGAACTACATAGTGAGACCCTGTCCCCCGCAAAAAACAAAACAAACAAGACTAAAGAATTGGTTTTCCTCCCAGTTTATCCTATTTCCTACCTCTTTTGTCCCCTTATGGCCAAGTTAACTTAAAACACACTGCATTATGTGAATGTTACTCCCTACTAAGTATCTGGAAAAATTGCCTATTGCCTGAAAGTTCTTATGGAAACTTTGTAGGACAGGCCTACTATGCTCTGCTTAATTCTACCTTACAGTTTTATCTCTGGCTCTTCTCCAGTAGACTCTATATTCAACAAAGATTGGTCTCCTGACTCTGCCCAATTCTCCTTTTGCTAGTCTCTCCACCCATTCCCTTAAAATGTCTCCTCATCCATTCTACTCAGCCTATAAGACCTAAATCAGGGCATGTACTTATTTCTGTGGCTCTGAGGTTAGAATCAGGATCATGAGTATAAAGAGGGAAGAGATTTTGAAATCACTTCAGAAATTAGTAATGACAGGAAGGAAGGAACAGGGAAGGGAGGAGTAGGGGTTGAAAAAGACTTAAGTGTGTTATGTTATGTCCATGTACCAACTTCCCACGATGAATGGAATCATGTACTCCAAACCTGTATTACTAAAAATAAAAATTAAACAAATTAGTAATGACAGAATCTGGATGAATTAAAAGGAAGAATGACTGAGACTTGTAAGAATAATGAATCCAAGCCAAGCATGGTGGTGTACACCTGTAATCCCAGCACTTGGAAGGCTGAGACAAGAGGACTGCCTCAAGTTTGAGGCCAGCCTGGGCTACATAGTGAGTTCAAGACCAGCCCGAACTACACAGGGAGACATTGCCTCAAAAACACAAAAGAAGACTAACAAACCCATTTATTTTTTAATAACTACACAGCTAACATACATAAAGCACCTATTACAGGCCAGGTGTTGTGTTAGTATATATGTGTGATGGACGTGTGTACACATGCATACACATCCATACACAACAGAATAAAAACTGATGTTAGGATTCCACAGTGGGAAAAGACCTTTCTCAAGTGAGAAGAGACAGCACCTGATGTGGCCACCTCTCAAAGCATTAGTGTTTCAAATAACAGAAAGCAGTGCCTCCAGATAGGAAAAGGGAGAAGAGGAAATACCTGATTGCTCTCAGGGCTAAGACGACCTCCTGTCCCAGGAGTGCCTGGTATCTTTACCACAGTGGTGCTATTGGCCATGGGGCCCTGTGGAGGGTTGCTGGCTGGTTCCGGTTTTATGGATGAAAAACTGGAGAGGTTGATAAGTGCTGAGGGGCCAAACTGGTTCATAATCTGCCGAGCTTTGGACTTCAGCTCATAGAGCTTATCGAGATCTTGTTTCTTTTTGGAGCTGTGAGGACCAAGGCCAATCAACTGCAGAAGGGAAACATGAGAATTAGCACTAGAAACACCTACAATAAAGCATGAGTTTTGAAAGTAAATTTTTCTGTCAAACCTTTTTTTTTTTCCAGCACCAGGGATTGAACTCAGGACCTTGTGCTTGCCAGGCAGGCACAGTGCCATTGAGCTAAATCCCCGCCCCTCTGTCAGACCTTGAGGGGTCTCCAGTATACCTAGGATGGTGACCATTTGATACCTACACATTAGGATGGAGGGGATGAAGAATGTTCATTGCTCTCACCTGATATTTAGAAATCATTCTCCAAAAGCTAAATGAAATAGTTCACAAAATTGAAATAAGGAAGAAAGAGCTAGGGATTTAGCTCAGTGGTTCTGCTGCCTGCCTCAAAAGCACAAGGTCCCTGAGTTCAATCCCCGGTACAAAAAAAAAAAAGAAAAAAAATGAAATAAGGAGGAAGGGAAATGAAATGAAGAATCTTACATATAAAAATAAGCTAAAATAAGCGAGACTTTTTTTTTTTTTTGGTACCAGAGCTCGAACTCAGGTCTGCGCCTACACAGCAGGCGGCAAAAAAAGCGAGACATTTTTGAGGACTTTGTATGAGTATAATAACAGTTGATTAAGTACTACATGCATTATTTAAGTATCAAATAATGTTAAATTCAAATAAGTCATGGCACAACCACACACTGAAAACTCAGTCACAAATCTTAAGAAAACCTAGTTAGTTCATTTTGGTGTTTCAAACCATGCTTGAGTCTGCCAGGGCCGTGGCCAATAAACATAAACACGATTTTTAGCAACTGTTAAAAGTTCTCTATCATAAAGAGCAATTTTTCTCTGGGGTTAGCAATCCAAAGTCCATACAGAGACCCTAGTGTGAAGCAGCCGAGGTTCCTAAATCTTAGAGCCACGAGGCTGACTCTGGATATCAGCTTTAGTGTCATCAGGATCAAAGCACATTCACCAGGTTCTGCCACAGTGGCCTCAAAGAGCTTACTTACAGCTATCTGAGTGTCTAGTTCTTTAATTACATCAGCTACAGCTGTGAGCCCGGTGAAATGAGAGGCAGCCATTTTCAAAAGCTACCTGTAAATGAACAGCGAGCATCAAGTGCCACCCTCGCCACAGATGCCTTACAGTTGTACTGCCTGACGCACAAACCAGGATCCAGCAAAGCAGATTCAGAGAAACGTATCTCCTCTCTAATGGGTGCCAGAAGAACACTTCTCTTCTTTTAGAAACATCTTTAAAAATTAATCAATGGCGGGCCCGGGATTTAGCTCAGTGGTTTCATCGCCTGCTTCGCAAGTGCAAGGACCCAAGTTTGATCCCTGGTACCAAAAAAAAAAAAAAAAATT